CCCTCTATGAGGTGGATTGATTCAGTGACTGGGGTAATCGAGATTGGCACAGGATAGAGCAGGGTTTAAGGCTGTTGTACATAGGATCGCTATGAGTAGCAAGCGACTCGACGGCACATAACAACAACAACAAACCTATTGATCTTTTGTATTTCTCTTTGTTTCAATTCTTTTTCATACAAAGTGCATACCCTTCATGGAAAGCATTCAGGAGAATGATCATATTCACCAGCAATTGCATTGCTCCTTTCTATGTTAACTTAAAGGCCATTTTGAGATCCTTCTACTTAATAATGGAAATTCACTTTATTTTTCACATCTTTCATAAAATAGTTGTCTATCATAATATTTAACCATGGTGGACAGTGTTTGGTGGAGCTCCCAGTTTAAGAAAGGCTTAGAAGCAGGAGTGGCATCCACTTCCTAAATAATACACCTCTGGAAACTATGAACTTAGAGAAACGACAATAGTTACAGAACAGAGTTCAGGTCTTTTGTTCATAGGGTCACTATGAGTCGTGCTGGACTCAACAGCACTTAACAATAACAACATCCTAATTTAAATATTATTGTTAAAGCAACATTTTACTAAGGAACACAGCCAAGTCTGTGTTACAGATTTCTCAGAGCATACACGGAACCTTCACTTTGGTTGCAGTCCTGTCAGAAGTCCACATGTCTTACTGTGTTACCTTGATAGAAATGAAATTTATAGGTTAATTAAGTAATACAGAATGTCAGTACACTTTTCTGTACTTGCAAAGAAATAAGAAGCCTCACTACAATTCTCTCAGTGGGAAATCTCTTACTTCTGTTTCACAGATGACAAAAATGAAGCAAAGAATTATTATTAATTTGCCCCAGATGACACTGTTAATAAGAAGCTCTGTGTGTGTGTGTGTGTGTGTGTGTGTGTGTGTGTGTGTACACATACGTGTGCTCATACACGTGTCTCCATCTGTCCAGCTATAAATGTTACCTCCTAGAGCTTAATCTTGCTTATTAGTATATTGTGTCTCAATTTCTATCGGAAACAAAATTTCTCCCTTGGGGTCACAAAGCAACACTGGTAATGGGGCCACTGCATGTAGCTGTGCAGTGTTCACTGAAGCAGGACTGGAAGGGCATCTGGAGTCCGTGCCATCAAGCTCTGTGCAGCTGTGGGCACCTAGACAAGGGGCCGCTTGGGCAGTTCACACTAATGTCATTGCTCTTCTGTTGAAGTGACTCACAGCTGACCCCCCATTGGTTTCTGAGGCTGCAGATTGCAGGGAGGAGGCTGCTTACCTTTCTCCTTAGAGCTGCTGGATTGGAACCCCAGAGGTACCACCTTGGGTTTAGCAGGCAGCTCCCTCTAGAGGCTGCTCCACCAGCCCTCCTAACTCCCGTTAAGCATCCCTGAAGGTGAGGGTCATCCCTTGGCACCTCTTCTTTTTTCACTTATGGTTTGAGTAAATATTTACAAAGCAAGTTAGTTTTTCTTCCATACATATTTTTCATATTAATTTCAGTATCCATAGTGTAATTACACTTTCCCTATTTCCTGTGATTCTGATTTCCAGTAATTTGTCTTCCCTTTCTTTAGTGAAAGTATGCTGATCTTCCCCTTACTGGATATTGCTTTTCCTTTCACCCATCTTAATATATTCCTGGCCACCTTTTTATGGCTTTCTCCTCCTTCCCTAGCTTGCCATTCCTGGGATTCTGTACATTTCAAGTCTCTGAACATCACTAGACGTAGCAAGAAAAATGGGCACATTCAAGGTGAGTGTTCACTCTTAAAATCCCTTCTGCCTGTTCCGACTGGACTCTCATGTTACTTCATTGTAAACCCTAAAGGAGATAGCAGACATTTGCTTACTTCTTGTTTGCCAGGTACTTGTTTGTGTTTGTCTGCTTACTTTACATTTGTTTTTACTTTTTCTATTATTTTCACTTTTTGTAAAATAAGAAATTGTTAAAATGACTAGTTCTCATCACCATATACTCCCTCCCTCACTTTGATCTCCTCATGCTTTCCCCCATGCTCTTTATTCATTTCTGTATTCACTAGAACTCATTGTAAAATGTTTGGTTTTAATTTATTGTGAAATTTTTTCTCATAGAAACATAATTTTCCAATTGAATTGGAGCCCTTTTATTTGTAACTACTCTTTAAGAACTCTTAGACATCTAAGTATCTTAGGGCTTTTATTGTTTTCAATGAGTGTTTTATTGTGTTTTCTATGAAGATTCATAATATTTCAAGTTAAATCTCACCCTGATCCTGTAATATGTTTGATCTCATCTCCATCCTGAATATGACTGGGCTGGGAACATCAGTCAAATCTCCAGACCTCTTTCCCTGTAGAGGATTTAAATTTATTTTCCATTCAATAATTTTTTTTTCTTTCTATAATTATATTTTATTAATTTTCATAAACATTTACAGAGATTTTGAGCTTCCACTCATTCATTGTTGCACTATTCTCTCTACCCTCCTCCCAGTTTGTTCTTGTCCAAATGCCACAGTGCTTGTCAAAGCCAGTTCTGATTAATCTTCTTTGTCAGTGTGTCCTTTGCCATTCCCTATCACTCCTCCCTGAGAGAGACTTCACCCTGAGTCATAAGGAAAAGGGGATGGCGTATTCTCTTAGCTACTTCCTGCTGAAAAGGGACGCTGTGGGTTTCAGGGTGAAGATCTTCTCTCACTACTCTAAAGGGCCCCTTTGGCAGTAGGAAACACATAGACTATTATGGAGATTGATTTTGGAATTCAGATGCACTCTTATTGATTGTGCTTGGCTGTACATGTACATATCCTTCAAGATGTATCATGGGGGTGTTGCAACCTAGTAGACACAAATTTGACTAACAAGTTATAAGTACATGAGTCCAAAAATTATGGAAAAGTAAAAGAAAAGATTCTTTCATTGTTTTACAAACACTCCCCCAGGTCCCCTCCACCATGCAGCCCTCGCTCTAGTCTCCTGTGATGACAGAAATACCCAGTTACATCTCTCTTTTAGACGGTTCTCTCCCTCCTCTGTTTCAGTGCAGTATACATTATTGAACCCATCTTACTCAGTCTCTCCCCAACCCCAAGGACAGTCCCATTCTACAACAGTGGCATCATGTAATATTTGTCCTTTTGTGACTGGGATATTTCACTCAGCATAATGTTCTCCAGAGTCAACCATTTTGAATAATATTGCATGAGTTCCTTGTTTTTTAATGCAGCATAGTATTCCACCATTCAATAATTTCTATGCACATTGTTCTGTTAAGTTGATTACCTTCTTTATCATGTGTAAAGAGCACATTATTTCTTTTCTTTTTACCCATTATCCAGTTAATTATCCATCAATCCAGTTTCCCTGCTGCCTATATTCACATCTTTATTTCAAAGTTATTGTTGATTTTTTTGGTTTCATATAGATGACTTTATTTGTTTCACATACTTTGGGCATGTTGTTAGGAGAAGCCGTTCTTTGGAGGAGGACATCATGTTTGGAAAAGTGGAGGGTCAGTAAAAGAAAAGAAGACCCTCAACAAGATGGATTGATACATTGTCTGCAGCAGTGGGCCCAAATGAGTCGGGGATGGTAAGGATGGCTCAGGATAAGACAGGGTTCAGATCTATTGTTCATATGGTTGCTGTGAGTTATACTCGACTCAACGGAACCTAACAACAACAGCAGTTGTTCTGTACCATCAAGTTGGAACTGACCCATAGCTGACCCTCCTGTGAGTTTTCAGAGGCAGTAAATCACATTCTGCAGGGCCTGATGAACTCAAATGGACAGTTTAGGTGACGACTTCCTGGCTCAGAAGATGCTACCAGCTGCAGAAGCTGATGAATCAGGGCAGATGATGGCCCGCTGGCTCTCCAGATGTGGGGCACAGAGCAAGAAAGCAAACTCTATGAGAGGAATCTTGTGTATTCTAAAAAACACTAATACCACACCCCAAAAAATACTGAGTGTGGCAACTTGAGCTATACCATCTAATTGGTAATATTTTAAGTTACATATAACCCTGATCCTGTAATATGTTTGAGCTCAAATGAAATCCTGGGCTGGGAGCATCAGTCAAACCCCTCTCCCTGTTCAGGATTTCCTGGTGTAGTCACCTTCTTGAGTCATAGTCCAGGTCACCCAGTGTGCACCCAGTGAACCATCAGGAATAACAAAATACTGTGGTAGCTGCAGAAATGCCAAAAGTGTAGAGAATTTTATCCCAGAGGAAGGGACAAAGGCAACCAAATTCTTTGTATCACACCTGGAGAAGTCTGCAACCATGAGATTAGTTTAAATGCTTAGACTTATGCTAATAATTAGCTCTGATAGTAATTGACAATGTTGACTAAGCACTTGTTCCGAGCAGCACCGTTAGGATTAATGTAAGTCTATGGATCTGTGTGTATTTATGTATGTGTGTGTTTTCTGATCTTTGAGCATTGAGGTATGTATATCTGTTTTCTATTTATACATGATAAAACTTGTCTTTCACAGCTACTGAACAACTAGGAGCTTAAGATGTGTAGAGGAGGTTGTTGTGCTCCTTCTCTCAGTCTTTGGCAGGAGACAGCTCCTGTGTGTTCCCCTCCCTGAATGGGCCCAGTTGGCAAGGGCACAGAGCAGCTGTGCATTGGGCTCACCTAAGCATGACTTTCGTTGGCCTTAGGTCCAGATCTCCCACTGCGAACTTAACTCCAAGTACTGCCAAATGCCGCTTGAGCTCAGTGAAGGAACTTGGTCTTTCCCACACCCCACACCGTCTCCACTTCTGCACACTTCATTCCTGTAGAAGCAGGAGGGGAGACCCTCCTGGAGGGGCTGTCTGCCGACTGGCACCACAGTTGTCTGTGCAGGTCCCTGAGTCAGTAAATGGGGTTTTGAGGGCGTCTTGGAGGGCTGGGGCTCTTTGAAGCTGTTTACTTGGCTGTTGAAGTGGATATTGAAAAGAGAATTAAATCCAGTAAGACACAGACACACACACACAGACACACACACACACACACACATACACACACACAGAGAGAGAGAGAGAGAGAATGTGTAGAAGAACACGTCCGAAGTTTTTCTGACTGGTAAGAGGGACAGATAATTGGAATGCACACTTAAATATGATAGCTACAAGTCAGTTTATTGATTGTTGGCATTCATGGATGTGATGTGTATTGAGACTTGAGAGGATGTGCTACATATCTACCCAAGATAGGATACTAGTAACTTATTAGTTACGCCAACATTTAAAAAAAAAAAGTACTACTAGAATCAGTATGTGCAGGAGCAGGATGGAGGGTGCTGTCAAACTGAGAATAAATTTCCCTTCCCTGAGGCAGGTGGCAGTGTGAACCCAAAGATAAAGCAGAAGGGGCCAGCATGCAAGTTTAGAATTCCAAGAGTTTAAGAACACCAAGTAGGAACACGGGGTCCTCACTCTGCCATACTTGGGTGCAGCTGAGGAGTGCTCAAGCATGGCATGGGCAGGAGGAAAGGAGAGGGCAGAGGAAAACAGACCCAATTCTTAAAATCTAGGGCAGCCTTCCCCGTCCTCCCAACCTCTTCAGGTGGAGAGTAGTCTGTGTGTGCTCGTGTTGTAGGAATCTGTGACGTTCAAGGACGTGGCCGTGGTCTTCAGTGAGGAGGAGCTGGAGCTGTTGGATGCGGCGCAGAAGAAGCTGTACCAGGATGTGATGGTCGAGAACTTCAGGAACCTGATCTCAGTGGGTGAGGACAGCTGCTCTCTGCAGTCTTTATGTCCTCAAATTTTCACGGTTTTGAATGGTGTCGGGATAATCACCTGCATTTTAAGAAAAGATTCTTCTTCCAACAGATTTTTTCTTTTAACTTTTTATTACGATTTGAATGAGTTTACAGAGAAATTAGTATTCCTTCACCCATTCATACTGGTTTTGGTTGATGATGTTTATTACAATCCCCACATTGTAACAACACTCTTGCATTATTTCTCCTTGGCTCTTGTTTCCATTCATCCTTCTGTCCTCTCCCTTCCTGCCTTGTGAGCCTTTTCCCTGTACAAATACCATCCTTTAGATCTTGTGTGGGTGGTGGTTCTAAGAACTTAGTACCTTCTTGGTGGTATTGTTCACCATAGAGATTTGTCTCTTGTTTGGCCGAAACTTGAGCTGCAGAGGAGACTTCTTTTCCAGTTGCAAGAGTGGCTAAGGCCCCAGTCTTGGCAGAAGTGGGGAGGATCTGCCGGTCTCCATCACTCTAGGAAGCCTGGGATTTTTGTTCTAAAGCTCTGGTTGTGCAGTCTGTAGAGAGCTGTGCTGTGAATCCAGAGGGGTCATGCCTCTCTGTTGGTTCAAATCCACCAGCAGCTACTGGGGAGGAAGATGTGAAATCTCTTCCCATGAGATATGCAGCCTCTGGAAATCCGCTGGAGTCAGTTCTTTTTTTTTGTTTGTTTGTTTCTTTTTTTAAAAATTTTTATTATTTTTGTCTGAGTGTACCGTCAAATCAGATCTGACTGGTACAGGAGGAAATTGTCCCTCCTTCCCCAGCAGAGCATCTGGTGGATTCGAACTGTGTGCCTCTGGGATTGTAGTTGCAGGTCCTTGCCACTAGGCCACCAGAGCTCTCCTTGGAGTCAGTTGTGATCAATGACAGTGAGTCTGAGCTGTCCACAGCCCTTAATAGTGATCCCTTTGAGAATTGTCGGTATTGGTGATTAGATAACACCTAATTCTTTTGGTCGCAGAGTTGTGAACTACCAGTAATATTTTATGAAGTGAAACAAAGAGTTCACTCCTAGTTTGTTTTTTTTAATTAAATTTTATTAGTTTTAATGAACATTTACAGAGATTTTGGGTTTTCATTCATTCATTGTTGCACTGTTTTCTCTACCCTCCCCCCAGTTCGTTCTTTTTTCCCCCACCTTGAATGTCTGTTTTAATTGTCCAATTGCCACAGTGCTTGTCAAAGCCAGTTCTGATTAATCTCCTTTGTCAGTGTGTCCTTTGCCATTCCCTATCACTCCTCTCTGAGAGAGACTTCACCCTGATTCATAAGGAAAAGGGGATGGCATATTCTCTTAGCTACTTCCTGCTGAAAAGGGACGCTGTGAGTTTCAGGGTGAATGTCTTCTCTCACTACTCTGAAGGGCCCCTTTGGCAGTAGGAAACACACAGACTATTATGGAGATTGATTTTGGAATTTAGATGCACTGTTACCAATTGTGCTTAGCCGTACAAGTTCATATCCTTGAAGATGTATCATGGAAGTGTTACAGCCTAGAAGACAAAAATTTAACTAACAAGTTAAAAGTACATGAGTCAAAAATTAAAAAGCAATAATATTCCAAGTAGAGGTTCTAATAGTGGCACAAATCAAGTTAGGGGGAAGGTGGTTCTTACAATAAAAGGCCTATTGACTAGCACTTTGTCTATTATAGTGTAGAGGTTAGGAACCACAAGATGTAGAGGCTCAGCTATGCCATTTACACTCCTAGTTTTTTTATCTCTAGTATTTAGCTGTAAATTGAGGGGAATAGAGGAAAAGGGAGGGGAAAAATACCCACTGAGATATGAAGGTTGATTTTATTTAACGCAGTGTATATCTTAAGGACTAGAACCTTTACCTACTTCATTTTAAAAGAAGAAAATAGAACTCACACTCTTTTTAAAAAAACAAAACTGAAAACCAGTGAAAATATCAGTTAATTCAAGAGGAAAGAGCACATATTATGACACAAACCTGGCTGTTTACGCCCGTGGTGTGGGTCGCAATAGTTGCTCTTTGCTGTTTGCTGTTGAATCAGATCCGACCCATAGCTGGGCCTCCAGCTGGTCTCAGAGGCAGTACATTGCACAGTCAGAGACTGCCTGTTTTTCTTCTGTGGAACAGTTGGTAGATTCAAACTGTGTGCCTTTGGGTTGGCAGTGCAACTTCCTACTACTGTTGTGTGCTATCAAGTTGGAACCAACTCATAACTAACCCTCCAGCTGGTTTTCAGAGGCATAAATCGCACAGGAGGAGACTGTCCATGCTTCTCTTGCGGAACAGCGAGTGGATTCAAACTCTGGCTTTGGGATTGCAGTGCAGCTCCTTACCACTAGGTCACCTGAGCTTCTAGGAATAAAAATTTCCATTAAATGGTATCCATAGTGTGTCCATTTTAAACCTGTGACGTTTAACAGTCACAGGCCTCCCATCTTAAAGACAGTATGTGCCACTTAGACAGGGAATACAAATCCAGTTTTGCATGATGAAGATAGCGACTCCCAGCGTGAAGTGAATGCAGCTCAGATCCATTCCATAGGGAATCCCTGTAGATGTTTGCCTGTCTGTTTTACTCTTTCTTCCCTACTGCCTTCATCCTGATCCAAATTACCAAACTTCTTAACTGGATTGATGTAACAGCCTTTGTTCTGATTGCCCTGTTTGGACCCTTCCCTTCCTAAACTCTGTGGACAAGGAGCCAAAGAGGTCCATGAGAAATGTCAGTCTGATTAGTCATTCCACCACTCAAAACCTTGATGGCTTCTTATATTTCTTAGCATTCACTCACTCACTTTCTCATTGCCATCAGCTTGGAAGCAATTCATAGCTGGTGGGTTTTCAGAAGCTGTAAATTGCACAAGAGGACCTTCCCCATCTTTCTCCCGTGGAGTGGCAGGTGGACTTAAGCCAGTCGCCTTTGGTTTGGCAGCTTAGCTCCTTATCACTAGGTCACCAGAGCTCCCTCTAGCAGGTAGAGACTGTAAATCACACAGCAGGAGACTGCCCAACTTTCTCCCATGGAGCCACTGGTAGAGTTTTTTTTGTTTGTTTTTTTTCTATATTTTATTAATTTTCATAAACATTTACAGAGATTTTGGGTTTCCATTCATTCATTGTTGCACTAGTCTCTCTACCCTCCTCCCAGTTTGTTCTTGTCCAAATGCCACAGTGCTTGTCAAAGCCAGTTCTGATT